TATCTGGCAGGGAGCAAAAATGTGGAGCGTTGGACGGCTCCCAAGGACCGGGTCGGGAAGCCAGGTGGGAAACACTGATGCAGCTGCATCAAGGTGAACACTGTTTTTGATAGAATTTCACAACTGATGACCTCACTGGTTTGATTGTAACCCAGATAATTTGATCAGGTCCAGTCCAGTTAGCCAATTTATACTATTTACACCAGACCTTCTCATATGCAGCAACAAGGAAGCTGACAGCTTCAGAGAACCAGCCTTTGTGGCTCCAGATTATGATGCCGCATTTTAATGAGCCACATGGTGCCACACTGAGGAAAAAAGAAACAACTATAAATAAGAATCTCAAGTATTCAAAAGAAATATGACTGTTACATTCAGGATGCCCTGATCGGAATAAGCTGCTGGACGATAAATGATGGATGGTTGGATGGATGGACATTGTTAGATGTTGGCTTTGCTCAAGATCTTTTAAGACTTTTTAAAGGACTACAAAAAATATTCAATCCATATGTAAAACATATGTGAACATATTACTAAAGGAAAACCTTGTCCACCATGTTCAAGAGGACTCAGGCACCTTCCAGGAACACAAAGCTCACATTCAACCAACATCCCACTCTTAACATGCTTCTGCAACAGAGCAATTACAATTTAAAGAGGGAATCTGTGAAAATAGGAATCAAGTGACAAAACACACAGGAGCATAAACCAGGGCATCAGGAGGTAAAACAGAAGAGTGGAGGTGCAGCCTACCCTGGCCTCACGGGACTCCTTGGCGATGTTGACGAACATCTGGCCGACCTCTCTGTCAAAGACTCGCACCCGGTCCCAGTCCAACATCACGGGGCTGTCCTTCCCCTTGAACACCTGGGGGGGGAGAAACCACACAGCCAGAAGGCTGTTACAGGGACAGGGACACTGACACACACAAAGGCTGGCAGGTCTTAGTCACGTCTCATTCAAAAAGAAAAGACTGGGACACTTCATCTTCATCTGGAGCTACTAGCTCATTTTACCATAAAACATAATGCAGGCTTAGTCAGTGTCGGGCCCTCCTGTGATCCTGACCAGGATAAATGCTTGGAGGATAGATGGATGACGGATAGATGGATGGATGGATGTAAAGCTGCCTGGTTCTCTCTCTTCTCTCTCTCTCCTCACCGTCTGTTATACAGCTCCTGAGGTACCATGGCATCCGATCTGCTGGCAAAAAGCCCTTGCTGAGCTTTGCCTCACTCACCTTAGCCTGGATCACCCAGTAGGTCTCAGGTTTGAAAGACTGGATCTTATCATGGCGCTCCACACAGAAGCCCAGGGTGGGCGTTTGGCAGGGCCCAAAGGAGATCAGCGAGGAGTCCAGGTTGCCGTATTTCCCTTGGAAATATTTGGTTTGAAATCTGGAACAAGAAATTTTCCTTATAAAAAAAAAAAAAAAAAAAACAGGTGACACCCCAAAAGAAACATCCACAATGACAAGCGATTGAAATCCCAAAGAAAAGCAAGGAACTTGTCTCTAAAACTACAATTCAAAAAACAAAACTGGCGGGATTTGGAACATTTAGCCAAATCAGATTAAACCATGGAATACAGAGAGTTCCATTCCTTATATAAACACAAGCTGAGTGCACTGGTGCAGGTAGCACAGAGGGTTAGCGATGGGTGATATGACGATGTCATCCGTTATAGACAATATCAGACAAATGACCTGGTGTCGATATGAGACACTGACTGGCGATTATTGCCTTTCTCAGAAAAGTAGGTTGAGGCTCTACACACAAACCAGGACAACAGAATGATTTATCACTTGGCTTTCAGTTCAGCCTTCTAACCTACATTTCTGATGCACTTTAAACTCCTGGTATTGGAACATGAAAGTATCAGTGTATGTAAATGTTTGGATGTTTTATTGTGTTGGTTTTACAACAACATTGGCAGCAAAAGAAATCTGAAGCTCATGGGGGGCTGGGGGGGGGGCGTGTGAGTAAAAGGTGTCAGTCGATTGGGGGAGTGGGCGCTGAAACACTGGGTAAGAAGACGATCCACAGACTTTCCCCTGGAAGAGACCGGTTTGTTTTAGGGGGAACGCCTTTTTTAAAAAGTATAATTCAAATAATCTTCAGTGGTTCCTTTTGGGGCAGTCGGGGGCCTGGCCAGTGAATGCCCCCCATGATGCAGACCCTGTTTTAGACGGTCCATGACATGTTGTTAGATCATAATTAAATCAGCCTGCCGATCAATCATTTTCCACAGACTAAAAAATGGTGATAATCTAATAATGTGACCACCCCCAGCCCCACCCCCAGAATCACCCCAACCCCCCACCTCAGCCCCAGCCCCAGAATCAACCTCCCCGGGCCCACCCGAGTCCAACCCCAAGAACCACCCCAGGCCCCAGCTACGAATGGCAGGTTTTAATGTCAGCTGTGTAGCAGATTAGCTGTTTATCGGCTAAAAAAAAATTAAGCTCTTCGTATGTGATGTGTGTTGGGTGACTCAATATTATTGTTTTACTTGATATTTTTAAATTAAAATATCAAAAATATCACATATTTTTATAGATATCACCCAGTCTACAGTGGATACGACAATAAGTGTTTCTGCTAATTCCATCAGCAAAGTATTTAACCTGGAGTTCCTCAGTAGTTAAATTTCATTTGAGAGAGCAGCGTCAGCCAATCCCTGGAGCAGCTGGGGTTAAGGCCTTACTCAGGGGCCCAGTGCTAAAACCACTTCCAATCACAGGCCCAGCATCATAAGCCGCTGAGCCACAGCGGCCCACACACCGCGTAAAGGCACAGCCGATGCGCAGATCCAGCTCCTGACGGGCATCCACGGACAGCGCCTCGTTGCGGTTGGGCTGCCCCAGGCGGTTCATGGCGTTGCAGATGTCCGTGTCAGTGATGGAGCTGAACTTGGCCCGGTACACGGTTCGCTCATTACCAAAGGCCTTGTTCATCACTGGCTGGATGGCGTCCAGTACCTGTAAAAACAAGGGATTGCACTGGCTTCATCACATCTAAACAAAAATAAAAATACCGCCGTTACTGTTACTTTCAAATCCTTACATCATGTCCATCTCCTCAGGTGGATTACCTCAAAACAGATGTTTTCACCCTCTTTGTCACAGTCTAGCCACAAAACAACTAAGTCACATCCCTTGGCTTCTACCTGTAAGAAAATGGGGTATGAGGAACCAACAGAGGCAGGTGCATCATTTACTGGGGACCAGGAAGCATCCAGCCTATCAGAGCCTTACCTGCAGGAACTTGGCCATGCTCAGCTTGGGGTTGGCTTCCTTCTTCTCTGTGGGAGCTTTGCTGAAGAGCTCAGCGGGGTCCACCTTGTCCCAGTTATTATACTTCCCTGCATATGCCAAACATGCACATATATACTCAGCCACACTATACCATTGCTGCAGGACAGAGGGACATTACTGCTCGTTCACGCAAGTGAAAAGGCTCCAATCTGTTTTTCTTCCCTAATTTTCCAAAGCACTGCAATGACTCCATTCCAGCTGTAGGGCTTTGAGAACATGTGATCCCCTGAACCAGACTGGCACTGACACCAAATTCTTTTGCAAATGATTCAGAGCCACATCCAAGTGTTAAATGCTTATTTAAGAAGCAACCTGACTATCAAGTGGCTGGCAGGCACCTGAGACACCCTAGCTGATTAGTCTCACCCTCAGAGGATAGGGACTACATGTGTTGGGTATAATCAGGGACTATATGCCGCATAGCCAAAACATTATGACTACCTGCCTAATATACTGTTGGTCCTTCTTGTGCCACCAAAAAAGCTGTGACCTGCCGAGGCACACAATCAGCAAGACCTCTGAAGGTGCTCTGTTGTATCTGACAGCAAGATATCAGCAGCAGATCCATGAAGTCCCTTAAGCTGCAAGGTGGAGCCACCTCAGATCAGATTTGCTGCTACCGCACATCCCAGGATTCAGGATTGAAAAGAATTCAGATCTGCGGAATCTGGTGGCTACGGAAACACCGTGAACTCTTCATCAGCTCCGACAACCATTCCAGAACAGTTCATGCAGTGTGGCAGGGCACATTATCCCACTGACAGATGCGTCTGCCATCTGGGAATACCATTGTCATGAACAGGTGTATGTGGTCTGCAACAATGCCCATTGCAGACACTTCCGCCGGTGGAGACGGGTCGGCATGGGAATTCTAACTAGTCTGCAGTTATGCAGCCCCATAGGCAGCAGGGTGTGATGGACTGTGTGTTGTGATTCAGTTATTTCATGTGCAGCATTAAAATTTTCCATCACTTATGCCATATTAGCCATTTAGTCACTCCGTAACAGACAGGACAGCCTCTGTTGCCGCTGCGCATCAGTGAGCCATGGGCACCCGACAGTGTGGCAACAATTCCTGGTTTTTCCTTCCTCCAACCACGGTCAGTAGGTACTGACCACCAATGGCACCATATAAGCCTTGCTGTTATGGAGCAGCTCTGACACAGTTGTCTGGCCATGCCAATTTGTTCCTTTTCAGTCACTCATCCTTCACACTTCTCCTGCATTCAACTCACCGCCTATGAAAAGGGGCTGTTTGCTTGCCATTTAATATATTCCAGATCTTGATTAGCACACTTCATTACAGGTGGTCATAATGTTTTGGCTCTTCGATGTATGTGTTGGGTATAATTAGGTGACCTAAGCTGTAATAGCCGAATGTGGTTAACAGGAAAACCATGTGACCAGGAGTTTACAAGTAAAACCAACAAAACACATCTGGAAATGAAAAACACCCACCTATGAAGTCCAGGCTCATCACATGACCACAGACGGATGTCATCTTGAAGCGGACAGCCTGGCCCATGAAGCTGCCGGGGTACTCATGCACTGAGCACGCTCCATTCAGGCCCTTGCGGCTGGTGCAGTTACCTGGAGCAAGAGAAGCAGAGAAGTCTGATTGACTGATGCAAAGAACTAAAGTGACCTTAATGAAAGTCAAATACCGTAGACGTACCTGCTACTCACGATTTCCCATTCTCAAAAAATATAATAATATGCTCACAGAATTTTATAGTATTTTTGGGCCAATATATTATAAATAAGCATCAAAAATTATTCTTTCTTCCACGATAATGACAAAACATTAAAATAGGGAATGACGCAATTGGCTAATGCATTGGTCTGTCAAGGTCAGTGACACACAAGGGTCTGTGACGCTCTTCCAAATGGCCCCACATTCACTGTGCTGGCATAAATACTGCAGCAGGGGCCAGGGGATACAGAAGCCCGTCACCCAGCACATCTTCCCTGCTCCTTGAGCCCGAATTTGGAGCCACCCCTACGGCAGAATGACACGCCTGCAGGTAAGAAGGGCTGTGCCTCGCTGCAGCATCGCTAATATTTGTTTGTGAGTCTGTTCTTTGGTGTCCATAATCTGGCTGGATAGCCATTACACTTAAGCAAGAACTGTATAGCCCAACAAGGATGTTTGAATCAAAGACTAAACCGTGAAGAATCTCAGCCTTATTGGAGTAGATACCTCATTGCTAAACCTTTTTCAAATTAATGATATGTGCAACACCTCTTACCGGACATCTGATGCTAGAATCATAAATCTCTGCATTTCTTTATCACTGTTATCACATAAAATTGAAGTTCTGAAATCCAACAAATTGTGCTTCTAGACAAATCTAGATTTACTAGATTTAACCACCAGCCTACTTTAGTTCACTTATCCATACACCAAGAGCACAAACGTATTGTTTTCGGTTATAGTTAATTTCACTAATCCGTTCATTTTCCATAACCTATCTAGAAGGGTAATGTGGAGAGTTTACACCATATTCCAGGAAACACAGGGTACAAGGCATGGTACACTATGGGGGCCAGTCCATCATACAGCAAACACTCCCAGAATACCCAGTCATCTAACCCCACCAGATACACATGCAGACACACACGTAGAACCCCAGGCAAGATTCAAGCATCCAGGCTAACCACTTATACCTCCATGCCATCTTCATTTCATAAATTAGGGTTTGGTTTCATTTACTTTAAATTGCCATGATCAGTTTTAACTTAAACTCTTTCAGCTTGCACATCTGTGCTGCCTTGTCTTGTGGGGACTCACTGCCAGTCGAGGTAACCCACTGACCAGTCAGTGTGTGGACGAGTCATTCTGCCTGGAAAGCCTGGAGGAGCTACACTTACCACACATTACCATGGCCAATAGCATCAATGAGAGGAGCATCGCACCCTGGACGTATGTGTGAGTGCACATCAGGGTCATACTATTATGCAAATTTGCAATACAAAGAAGTCTGTGTTTTGATACAATGCCTTGTACAGTATTATTAATCTTTAAAAGAAAGGTTTCTTCTGTCCTGGGGGTGTATAAATATAAAAAGCAAAAATGTCATTCTTTTGGTACATATCCATCCACCCATTTTTAAATATTAAATGTTCAGTAATTTCAAATATATCAGCATGGGATGTCTAAAAAAACAGTCCAATTGACAATGAATGTGAAGGTCAACAACAACCTGTTTTGTTCATTAAAGTTTTAGTCTCAGCATTTAGAGCTGTGGCGAAACACAGATTGACATTACTAGAATTTACTGTTTACTGGTGAAAATGTCTTAGAAGATTCAGTTGTATTGATCTGAACAATTTCTTTAATTTGCTCTCTGCTTTTCAGAGAAAGAATTGATTTACACAGAGTGCCTGCAATCATCCATGAAGCCAAGTGTCTCACAAGCCATTCCTGCACTGGTGTGGAAGGCTACTCCAGCTTAGAAACCATACCCATCTCCATAAAAATGCCTGTACTGAAAAAAAACAGAAAATGCCCTTTCTTTTCCCTCGAGTTTGAAACCGTTAGTATAGCCTGTCTATGTGCTACCTCCAGGCAGTCCTAATCTTGTTACATAACTCAGAAGATAGTGAACTATTATTTACAGTTGTTTTAAAAGTACCGTGGATACCACAATAAAGAGCATTTTATGACACGCTCCGTGTGTTTCATTAGTAACCAGTGTTACACACATGCTTTTAGAAACAAACAAATAAGATAAAATAAACAAATTAAAATACTGATAAAAAATGACAAATAGAAAAACGAAATATTACAAACAGTTCATGACATACAACTAACGAGTACAAATAAATTCGTTAAGAAGGTTATCGGGGTATCAGAAATACTTTCAATATAAACAAAGCAAACTGTTTGACACCTCCGGCACCTGTCCGGTCCAGAACATCTAAGATCTGATCCCCCCCCCCCTTTCAAACTTTCGTTTCGCGTTTGTTAACAGACATCTAGGATGACACTCGTACAATCCCATCAAGTGTAACAGCAAATATGCATGTACAAACCTTAAGCCGTTCTGCTAATAATTAAATATTCAATGTGAGGCTAACAGCCTAACATACCGTCCATTTTCTGATACGTAAATAAATCCCATTTCTTCGGTGGACTTCAGGAAAACCTACCTTTAGACAAAATTTTTGCGATCGACTGTGCCAACGACGGTTTCTCTGCCACCATAATAACCGTCTTCATCGTGGCGAGACGACAGAGAAAAGAGGCAGGGAAAAACTATGGATAACCGTCTTTATAATGCGAACTCTCTCCCGGCAACGACCAGATCTCCAAACCGTAATTAATGCATTGCTAATATCTATAATGCATATCAAATTGAAATTAACAGATGTGTTTATATAAAATAAGTACTAATGTGTCAATTTTTCCTTTAGATAGAATGAATTCAATTGAACATTGAGTGCAACGAATAAAATTCATAACTAGGTACAGGACGACGCCATGACAGTCTGACGTCATGACACTTCCGGTGAGTGCCGGAAAGAACGTTCCACGTGTGCCGCTGCACTGTAATGGTCGACGACGTGTACTCTGTGTTGAAATTACGCTCCTTAATGTTATGCTAAATCCATTTGGACGTACTCATTTTAGATATTATTGTCTGTAGTGTTAATTCACAACTTTCCATTAGAACTCAAAAAATGAATATAATATTGAACTAATTGTTTCGATGGTGATTAACAGTTTATTTCAGTGATAGTACGAAAACATCTCTGACATCTTACAGATACAGTAATATGTGCATTTATGCTTTGTGCATTTTTCTTGTGTAACCGGAAAATTAAACATAACGTTCAAAATGTTTGATTCACTAGTTTGTGGGAGGCTCGTTTAACACCCAGTACCTGTACTCGATCATTCTACACCTGCTGTTTTTCTGCATGTTGGTAAGAGCTAGGTTTTCATCAGCAATTCACTTCTTTTTTAAAAAATTTTTTTAAAAAATCAGATTGATCAGAGAAGTCTGTAGTTCTTCGAGATTGTATGTATCCCACACATCTTTTGAATGGTTGATCGATCTTTTCATAACCATTTGATATGCTACTCACTTGAAAATAACCACTTCCCGGTAATACTAGTAACAATGCCAATGATAAATGTGATTATCGGTACCAAAACGTATGGCCTCTTCAGCTTTTAAAAATGTTCTCCTTAATCTCACCAGGGGATCGCACTGACCTTTGCAAGGCACTAGTTCTACCGCATTAAAATAACGGGATCATCTGTAGAATGCGCTGGCCAAGTTAATCACATTAAGTTACGCGATGTGTCATCGTTTTGTGGTGTTTTTACTTCTTGTTAAAACATGTGTAGCTTCCTTATTTATTAAAAATTATGTGAATTTTTTTGTCTGTCAGTATTTTTACACTGGAATGATATTTGTGCACATATGATTGTTTAAATTAATATTAGGCATTTGTGTATGTAGCTTACATTTATCTAAAAATCTATAATTTTCATTTTAATGTCATTTATATTTGCATTTTTTTACTCGAAAGTTGTTGCTGTTATTTTACGGGTTTTTTATTAATTTATTTAAAAAATTAAAACGATGTTATTTCACGTGTGCCTCCCTGAGAGGGAGGCTACATCAAAATACTAGTACTTTCGGATAAATAATTATTGTTGCTTTCAAACCCTACATAGGTTACTGCCAAATTCATGTACGACAGTTTTGTCGTCACGTCGTCCTGGTAAGAATTTTACCTGCTTGAATGTCAGCTAAATTATGTTTCTATACAGCTCACCTGTTATTTAAAGTTAAACATAAAAACCTCCACAAGATGACAAAGCAGCGTCTATTAAATGTGGTGAATAAAAGCATAGAAAGACTTTGAGTCAGCCAGAGAACTGATTACAAACCAGCATAAAATGTGGTCATAAACCTGTAATGTAGGGCGGCAGGGTGGTGAGTAACCTTGCAGTCATGATTTCTAAAGGCGTAGTTTTGTAGAAGGGCCTCATAACTGCTGTACAGTCACCCATGGTGCACAATCAAGTGATTTATGGGAATCACGCTAACTGTTTCCCACTTTCCAACGTGAAAGCAAAGTCATCTACCCGACATTTCCTGCTTTTGAATCTATGAGGCACCAGACTAAAATGTAAAACTTGAACTCAATAAGCGATTAATCTCTGTTTAATTTTTTTTATTGTCTTGTAAATCCATTGAAATATATACCTAAATAACTAGTCCTGCACGGACGTACGTGTTTAAAACTTATCTGTTCCCTTTTCTCAGGTAAATGTCAGTAATTTTTTTAAAGAACCACACAAATATTTACATCGTGATGTGTGGAAAATGCTTATTTGTTAAAACTGTTGAGGAGGGTTTGTTTTATTTCCAACATACTTTTGTGATAATGCATTTCCGATAAATTTCCGCTAGATGGGGAAGAGGATTAGGCTTAACTATTTACAGCAGCACGATCCGGCAGTACTAAACTTGGGTAGGTGATGCGTTTTCTCTTCGGTGAATCTGGTGTATTCCAGATACCCCACACCGTCAATTATTTTTCCATGTTATTTATTTATTATTTGTTTTTAATGTTATTTAAACGCGTGAACTGTCAGGCTACACGGGAAATTTGGTGATTCGAATATTTAAAAACATTTTGCGGTGAAGCAATAGGCCTATGGACTAATTATTCAGATAGTTATTCCGAATTTTATTAGATGCATTTGTAACTGAAGGGCAGTTAACGATATCAGGCTTTCTAAGTATAGCCTGTGCCATCATATAACGGTGCATGAGCTATTTGGTCATTTGTTTCGGTTACTGTTTCATATAAAATCATTGTATTGGATGTGGTTATCATCCATTTATTTGCATTGAAGCTTCTGATTTCCTGTTCCTTTTTTGTTAGTCTTTCCTAGGGTAGAAAAGCTGAAAAGGTCGTGAGGCCGGGAAGGGAGAGGGAGGTGGTGCTGTTTACCGTGACCAGACGCAATCGAAACCAATACATTTTAACGTAATCTGTTAAATTCAACCGACTGACAAAAACACTTTGTTTATATACAAAAAATATACAAGAGCCACTTAACAGTAAACCCGTTGCATATACAACGTATACATCTGTTTTATTAATAACAGTGAATTCAGGGTTTATTGTTTGTTTGGGTCCCTTTAATCAAGCTTTGGTTTATGAAAATACACATTTTCTGGATATTAGCGCTAAGCAATCGCTTGATATCCCAACTACTCTAGATGGGTGTATTCCAAACTAAACATACTTAATATTTGATATTAAATTGTTTATCACCTTCAATTGCATACATCTTATCAAAGTGCTAACATATCTATTAATGTGAGAGATATGGGGAAAAGAAGGTAACTAAACGGACTTCCTGATTTAATCCATTCTCTATCGCACCTGGAAAAAAAATTAAAAAGAAATTTTAATAAAAATAATTGATTTTACCTGAATTCAGTTGTAAAAATCCCAACAGGGAATTGGTATTTTATACCATGTATTTAACATGACTGCTTTTCTGGTACATTTACCACTTTCAAACAAGCTTCATGCAGAACAATTATTTGCATTAATGCACCACACCACAAAAATAACATTCTCAAGAGAAGCATAATCCTAGCAATTGCAGCATTTGCATAGTTCTGAGCTGGGAGATGTGTCCATGCCACAGTCATTGAGTTTTTTTTTTTGTGGGGGAGTGACATATGTCCCCTTCAAAGTTCACCTCTGTTGCACGTGGGTCAGTAACGCTTACTGAGCCTAAAGAGTATTTGTACCCTCTGTCTTATTTATTCATAACCTTGCTGCACTGTTAGCTGAACTTTGTGCTGAAATGAATGATTGCCCATATTTGGAGTTTGACAGCCTAGTTCTTTATGTGGGGGGCAGGTAGAAGACATTTTCTCTTCTAGTGATGGTATGGGGCAGTATTCATGCTGTAAAAGCAGCCGTCATTAGCTGTAGCTGACTGACCTGATTGCACAAACGGGTGAGCAAATTGTGGGCAGATTTGGTTCCCACTTTGAGAATGCTTATGATGCTGCCAAATTGATGCAACAATGCTTAATCTGAATCGGCAAACTTCTATCATCACGGAGGAAATTGTTCATAATTAAGACTGCACTGTAAACAACCACACAAAAGACAAAAATAGACAGTACACAGTACCACATATATTTCTCTTTAAAAATAAGTATAGCATATAGAAATGGAAATAAATGGATAGTGAATATGATGATACAGAAATATTGCACTAGAAAGGTAAATAAAAACAAACAAATAAATCGAGAGGTACTGCAAGGTTGTGCCTCAGGAGAGCAGGCAAGTCATCAGCAGCAGTTAGCTGAGCAGTCTGGTCATGGCCGGCAGACCATCAGGCACGTGTTTGCTGATGATCATCAGCTTACCAGCCTCTTCACAGTTACCCCATGTGTCATTTAAAATAGTGTCGTTGTTCTTAATGGCTCAAGGAGGAGAGACAGAGAAAAAGGTTATGACGGAAAATGAGCTAGATGAGGAGCTAGATCACATAAAGAATGAAAGGTGGTGAGATCTTTCTGGATGCCCAACAGGCAGAAGATTGCAGGCTCCTTGGAACCATTCAGAAAAACTCATCAGATTGTCTGTTTGCTTTTCTGTCCCTTAGTCTGGA